GATTAACTCATCTAAGCTGGGCTGTACATAACCTACTACTGCAGTAAGTAGTAGTTTGTTCGTGTGCCTTTTTTAACCAGACTTAAAAGTTATACTTGGCCTGAGGTGAACCAAAATGATGCTTCACCATTTGTCTGATGACCTAGTATGTTTTTTCCCTTTTAAAGTACAAATATTTGTGAAATTGGGTGTGAGGAGACGACTTTAGTCTCTAGTTACCCCAGAATTAGCTGTTTAAATGATTTGATCCCAATGTCATTAATTAGTGGAGCGTTACTAGCGCTATATCGTGGACTCCACTGGCGAGAGGTGAGGCACATCGGTGGGAAGGATCTTGTTTGCTTGTACAACTGCTCTGTCTTATTGTGCATATACACGTGTTATTTAAGTTTACAGTCTTTGTGGCTGCATGAACCTTTCTGGTCTCCGGAGTATCCATTTAAGCTGCTCTTTGTGTGACAATGGGTAGGATCTGACCGTTTACATTGGCCCTGTTTTGGGTCACTCCTCTGGTTTACACTCTGTTGCTGTCTTCAACTTCAGTGCAGTAATTCTGGTTATCTTGTGATGTGGATTTTTTTTGATCCAGTCCTTTCTTTTGCTTTCTCCAGCATAAACATTTTTATGTTCTGATGTTTACATTGTGACATGGGTAGCTGTCGCAGCAAAAAGTAAAAATACACCAATATTGACCTTGGCTCTCTATATAAGAATAGGGGCATCTGCAGGATTTGATTGCTCTTTGTGTTTTCTCAACAAAATTAGTGCTTTAATTGACTGTCTGATAAACCCACTTCAAGAACAGATGGAAGAGTGGAAGAAAGTGGCCAATCAACTGGATAAAGACCATGCAAAAGGTAGTTACAGAGGAAGAATTCTTTAATAGGAGTAAGATTGTAATATCAGCTTTTCTTCCTCTTTTCATGTTTGTACTGGGGAACTGAATGACGCACTTAAATATGTATAGCAATTTTTCTCTTCTAAAACACTCCCCTCCCAAAGCGCCTAACCAAATTTTAACCCTTGTGTATACATTTTGAAGGTTTAGTTTGCAGAACCCCAAGGGATGGGTTGTTTTTCTAGACTGGTAAGCAATGACGAGTTTTAACTCTGTTAGCCCACTCTCACTGTATGATCTCCAGTAGTGCTGAGGATTGGGAACGCCGCATCTATCCCTGCAAAGCCCCAGGGTGTAGTTAAAAGCTAACTGTAAGACCATGTTATGTCTCGGACATAGTGTCCTCCAGAGAATGCACAGCCCTGTAAAACTTTCAGCATCATTATTTTATATCTGGTGCGATACAGAAATGTGCACCTGGGGAACGGGAAAGCTGTGTCGTTGGACATAGGATGCTCAGAGCTGCAGCGCTGATGACGGCTCCAGAGGCTTTCCTGGGGGCGTGAGCAGGAGGCAGCAAAGTCTGGCACAGCAAGAGCATGTTGGTAGATGCCTTTGGCTTTGCAAAACTCGTACTGGGGATGACAGCCCTCTAGCACAGGTGCTGAAAGCAGGTTGCAGTTCACCACTGACCCTTGAAAACTGAAGATGCTTGCTATGTCTGAAAGAAGCAGCATGACCGTAATTTATTTGGGGGAGGGTGAGAACTGATGGGAAGGAGTGTGCTTGCCTCAGAAAGAGGATTTGCTTCTTGCCCCCTACTACTACTGTGGTCAAATAGAAGCAGCTAAATCAGCAGCTCTTGAAAAAAAATGCCACCTTGTGCTGTGGAGAGTGTGAAGCACGTAGCGAGCGAGCGGGAGGAATCACCCGGGTTCCTGCAGGTAGGGGTGACCCTGGCCAAAGTGGCAGTGAGATTTAGGGTTTAGTGGGTGGACTTGGGTGTTGGGGGTGCAGTTGGCCCCAGTACAGTTCCTGTGCCCTCCACCAGCCTGCTTCTGTTTTTCCATCTATAGAAGAGTAACTGACCTCCTTTGTTAAAGTGTATGTGTATATGTATATACATGCATACATGCCTTTTATTTTTATTTTTTTTAAAGTATCAGTTTTCGTATCTGGTACCTTTAGTGTGCCTGGACTAGAAGTGGAATATTTTGTTTTGGGATTTTAATTCTCCCGGGATTTGCAGCTCATCTGAAAATGAGGACAACTGCAGCGTGCTCCAGTTCATCAGAAAGAGCTGGCAATGTGACCCTTCCTTGGGCAAAGTTTTAGCACCTTCTCCCGCTGCCTGACTCTCATGCTGGAGAGGGATCACAGGATATTCTCTGCCCTGCCATTTCTGGATACTTGTTTTTGAACATAGATGTTTCGAGAAACCTGTCATCTCTGTTTTCCATTCCTGAGAGTGGATGAGTCTCTGAAATGAAAAGCACTCTAATTTTGTGCTGTGTTCTCAGTTGTTATTTCTGTAAAGGCTTTGTTTATTTGGGAAAGATTTTGGTATGTGAATGTACTCACACCCTAAAATGTTATATTAAGCCAAACCTATAGGCGCTACAAAATGCACGTTCTAAGTCGCTTTGATTAATAGTAGCTGTCCTCATAGAATGTGTAGTCTGATGTCTTTAAACATAGCCTTTTCTGTGAAAACATTCATTTTGACATCAAGTATGTTGATAATAGAGACTGTATGTTTTTTTAGAATACAAAAAAGCCCGCCAAGAGATAAAAAAGAAATCGTCGGACACACTGAAGCTGCAGAAGAAAGCAAAGAAAGGTAACTTGCTTCATACTTGTACTGCTAAAAACCTTTTGTGCTGTGCTCATTGACAAGATTGAAGAGCGATAGGACTTTCTGTTGCCGTAATTCGGTCCCCTGTAATGTATTCTTGGTACGTACTTGAACACCAGGGTACAATTACAGTGTGTCATTTCAGTCATATTCTGAAGCTGCTATCCAATGTTCTTATACAAAAGCCTTAAAACTGTTTGTACAAAGTCAATCATATTTTAAAATAGAATGCTTGCTGCTAACTTATTCCTTTTAGGAACATTGGCACTGTAACATGACTTGTGCAGATACCTGTAAAATTTTCTAGAATCTTCTGGAATAATATTAAAAAAAGCCATTATGTAAATGTTCTGTAACTATTAACATTTCTCACTGTTCTCCCTTTCTACCACCTTTCTTTTGTTTTTTTTAACAGCTTGTAATCTCATAAACCTTACATTATTCCTCAGAGGGTGACAAGGTAGCATGGGTTGTTGTCAGGGGGAAGTCACTTGGCAACCATAGAAAACTAAAGATGAGTAAGAAAAGAAAGGGAATTCTCCACAAAGACAATCTGTCTTTTTTAGCAGCTGAATCTCATGCTCCTGTTGCTCTTCCGCCACCATCTTGTCACAGGAGTTTCATCATCCTGTTAATGAAAACCTGCACTTAGCAGTCACTAAGGGTTTTACTTGGCCAAGTGCAAACCCCACCAAGCTTTGGAACAATGATACGGAGCTTATAAAGAAGCAGACTTTCTGGTTCCGTTTCCCGGCATGGGGCGCTTCCCAGCCGGGTAGGAAGTGTTCTCTGAGCGGCTCTGGGCCTGCAGGTTGCAGCTTGTCCTTCCCCTCCTGCCTAAAAACTGTGAGCCCAGGGACAAGCAAAATAAATGCTGGGGCGGGGAGTTGCTTGAACTTTTAAAATTGTTCAAGTGTTACCCAGAACAGGTGAGCTGTCTCTAACTGTCCATCCTAATAGGTGAGTCAGTAATTATGCCGGTAGAAAGCCACATGACTGGAAAACTGCTCTTGAATTTTAGCTGACTTAGATAAGGCATGAGGGAGGGAGAGGTGGAAGCCAGCAAGAGGGAGCCTAGCTCAGTAGGCTTTGTGTGTGTCTCTGTCCATGGAAAAGTTTAGTGTTTTAAATCAGAATGGTCATCTTTAGGAGGACATGATTTTTTGTGGTAAGATTTTATTTTTGGGTGATATGTAAACATGTTTCTCGTTTTGTGTGACAAATTGTCTGACTTAGAGAGTCTGTTATATTCCCTCCATTTCTTTTCCTTTCTTCTCCCCTGTTATGGTCTCATCGCTTCTTGTCCCCGTGTGATGCAAACAACCCCCTCAATGCATTGTAAGTGAGAGCTGAGAAAAGGATGTCCATGATGTGGGAAGAAGGAGCCATTTTTTGAACCTGTTTCTATGAATTGACAGCTATCTGGCTCCATCTCCCTTTTATCCTGCTTCTGAGTATTGAGTAAATCAATCTGCAATCTTGGAGGAGGAGACGGCATTTTCTGTAAGGTGGGAAGAGGAGAGAGAAGCCTTCTGGAAAAAAAAACAACAGTGTTCTCGGACTGCAGATGCCACTGTAGGTGTCTGTCAGCAGTGGTTAAAGCAAGTGGACTTTCTCCTTGGATTTTCTGGGTTCCCATCTCCCTCCTCAAATGTGTGCCACGTCTAGTGATGAGGGTCAGCACACTGGTGTCTTGGCCTCCTTTAGGATTAAACATCTTCGAGCAGGGAGTGGAACAGGCCTCATTTTGCTGTCACTTTTATAGCAGCCATGCTATGATTGAAGACCTTTTTTTTTTTTTTTTTTTGAGGTCATTCCCTTGATTAATTTTGCTGTTATGACATGCTTTTGGAGTAGTCAATGAACCTGCTGTATTTCTGTGCTGTATCCCTCAGAATATCCCTCTGTGCTGTCACACACATGCTGTTTGGGTCCAGAGCACAAACCCAGTGGGACTGAGGTCGGGTTAAAGCTGGTCACAGAGGGACGCGTATGGGGAAGGTGGAAGCTATTAAGACTCGCAGGTAGCCAGTACAGGGGAAAGGAGGAGCTGCAATATTTTTGGGGACCTGAAGGTTGCTCTCTGTTACGGCCCCTGGGGAGGAGAGGTGCAGTGAGGTGCCGAGGCACATACAGATGTGAGAATGAATGCCCAAAGCTGCCGGCCCTGTGGGTTCCAGCACGAGTGGGCAGAAGTGGGAGGAAGTTCACCCTGTTCTTGCAAGTTACCTACAGTGCTTAAATATAGAAGAAAAAAAATGTGGCAGGTGCTTTTTCCCCCTCTTTGTCTTTTTGATCCCTGCCTTGAAGGAATAAAGCATTGGTCTGAGTGCAACATCAAATGTTGTTATGAAAACTTTTGTATGTACCCACCTTGACAGGTCTGTTTAATGTGTTACATGGTGAAGTGTGTTGCTTTTGCTGTCACTGACGGATAAAAAAAAGTCAAGTAGGGGTTTATTTATAAAGCGGCAGAAGTGATTCTGCTTTAGGTCACAAATGAGGTTTGAACTACAGGCAGGGAAGCTCTTGCGTGCGACTGTCCTGGCAGGCATGTGGCTGAGTGCATGAACGTCTTACTGTGTCTGCAGCTCTCCTGTTTCCCTGTTGCTTAGACTTAACCTTTTTTGTTCTGTTCTTCCTCAAGCAGGACCTGTCCCTTTGATTTTTCTGTAAAGTTACTGACTCACCTATGGGAGCTCTAAAATAACCAATTCATTCCCTTCCTAGTGCTTGTAAGAACATTTGTGGATTAACCTTGTGATCATCTGTTGGCAAGTGAGATGTTTGCTGAATTCTGGATTTGCTTAAGTACTGTGCATGCTACTAAAAAATCCTTCAAGCTTTTTCTGCTGTGACTGGATGGAAAAGTGGTTTTCTTCTGCTTTGGGCAGCCTTAGGTCTAGGAACTCAAATATAACCCTCTACTTTTCTCATCTGCGTCATGGCCGTGGTGTCCTCTGTCCCTGCCGCATCAGGCTGCAGAGGCTCCCTCTCGTAGCTGACGGCTGCAGCATGCGTCGCAGCTCCTTGCTCCGCGCCTGCATCACAAGGATGTTTGGGAGAAGGGGCCAGGGGCTGCGTGGCTTGTCCTACAGGTTGGGCACCCCACCTTAGCGCTAAGGGGCTGAATACGGCGGGGTTTGCCTCTTCTCTGCCTTGTGCATGGTCTGTTTGTTCTGGTTCCATGCGGCCACGTTGAAAGTTCAGGCCGGGCATTTAAGATCAGTTCTTAGAAATTATGTTTGCGAAGTAGGTGTGTTAATTGCGATAAAGGTGTTTCCAAAGCTTGAAACGATGGGGAAAACACCAAGCTTTCCAAACGAAACGAAAAGGTGCTAGGGGTTCTTTTTGGAAGTTTGCTGGAGTGTGTCTGGTAAAATGACAAGTCTGTGTGTAAATGAAGGTCTCGCATTTCAAAAGACCTTACAGGGATAATTTTAATTCTTTTTGTTGCCTTTCACTATTAAAAAAAAAAAATACATCCATATGAATTCTAAATATATGTAGCCTGAACAGGATCCTGGTGCACCTCCCAGATCAGTGCAGTCCATGGGGATGTCATGGTGATCTTCAAGGTGCATCGTTTTCCTTTCGCCCTTGTTCCCAAGGGGGACAGGCCCACAGGGCATGTTGCCCACCCCAGCGTTGAAACTTTGCTCTTGTCTGAACAGATGAACCTACCTAGTGCGTGGAACTGTGTACATCTTCTAAATTGCTCTTTGTTTTCAGACAAACATTGGACATCAGAAGTCAGACCAGCTAACCTGAGTCAGCAGAATAATGATGCATATATTTAAAATAAATTCCATGTTTAGGTTTCTGCTGAGTCAAGGCCTCATAAGTGGATCCATAGCTGCTAGAAGCTGTTGATGCTATGTTGAATTCAGATGAGAGACGGCAGCTGTGGCTCTGCATGTAACCATTTTGGAAGGTTGATAAAATGCATGATTCTTAGTTTAAAAAAAAAAAAAAAAGCATCAAGTAACTAACTTAAAATATAACTGAATGCATATGTAAAATCTGGAGTGCATGCTGGCTTTATTTCCTGTATGTCAGCTTGGCTATTAATGATTAACTAGACAGGTTTCCCTTCTGCCTGTAACGTGACTGGTAGGTTTCATTTTCAGGTTCATCATGGCATGTGACATTGTGTGAGCTTTGAGGAAAATGTTTAAATCCAAGCAAATTTGTGAAAAGGAGTTGTATGTAAGGCTCCCGATAATATAACATGTGTTAATGTGAAAACTTGAGTTTTATCTCTAAGCCATTTGTAGAAGTTTCTGCAGAGTGCTGTTAACATACAGTACAACATTTCATCTTGTGTCCCATCAATGTTGAGTATCCAAACTCAGAACCTCTACTTTTGAGTATGCAGCAGTTTTGGAAAGTATTCTTACTTTTAATAAAGTTGAGAGAATAGAATGTTATTATTAGTTTACTGTAACACTGCCAAAAGTGCCTTCTCTTCCCCTCCTGCCAGTTAGCGAAGATGACCTGTTTGTGTTTTGGAGCCTTTGCAGCTGTTTTTGTGTTACACTCTGGTCTTTGAAACTGTAATATTATACTCCTCTCAAGGATGATTGCACAAACCCCGTGACTCTTAACTGAAAAACATAAAGCTCTTCAACATAATTATAACCGAAGAACATCTCGGCTCTTAACGCAAATGCTGACCTTCTCATTCAAGTACTTTGCACTCTTTCTATACTTGGCTCTTGCCCTGTCTGGAGTGGCAGGCTGGGGAGGGAGGACCCCTGGCCAGACCCTTCCTCCGCCAGGAGATAGCCTTATTCCTCTAAATTGATCAAGTGTGGCATGATGACTGAAGTGAGAGCCAGGACTCGCTGTGGAGTCAGTATGATACAGCTGAGAAGAGGGAAGCTAATGAGCAAATTATCCTTATCTGTTGCAGGGAAAAAATCCTGTGTGGATTGGTGCCTGCGGGGGTTTTTTGGGGTCGTCACCCCCCCGCCCCCGCAAGC